ATGTGTGCATTATAAATTGTTCATTATTATATGACATGAGGGTTTCGCCAACAGCCCTTCTTTATCACACACTAAGGGCCATTGCCAGAAATACTGCTAATTACATGTTTCTTTTCAGAGCAGCGTTATGACAAATATGCTGAGTTTATGTTATGTGTGCTTATTCACAACTGCCAATGCAGTATCACAAGAAACGTAAAATTTTCATAAACAAAAGACACATACACAGATACAGACAAACAAGGATAACAAAAACACGGATACACAGGGACATGCACATTTAAACCTACCCACCCACATACACACACGGTACATACAAACCAACACAATACAGATGTCCCCTCACATCCTTAACAGACTGCTGGGGCAAGTGCTATTAGTGAGCACCTATGAAGATCGGCATGGCACACGAGGGGATGCAAAACCATGCTCGGTCGTCTTTGTCTCTCCAGTGGTGATGTTTACACACCGCATCAGGGACTCATTTGAGGCTGAGTCGACCTAGGCGAAGCCTAGGACCGGTTCAGATAATCGTCACTGGTGTTGGCCGTGAGTGAAAATTGAACCCGGGTCACCGGGTTCGTAGCGCAGCTCGGCTAACGCTACAGTACTCCTCCCTACATACATATGAAGAAAGGCACACACACACACACGCTGCTCAGAGTTTATGTGGAACAGGTGTGTGTGTGAGAGCATTCAACCCTAACCCTATCTAATCGCGGGGCAGGAAGCAAATGTTTCATGTTGAACGTTTGAGTTGTGTGCAGCACTAGGTAATCGACAGTTCAATGGGAACTTCACAACCTGCAATGTTTACACCATTGGAACCTCATTTGCCAGTCAAAAATATGATCATTGGTTTTTTACCCTTCTATCTGGCAACAAAACTGACACCTTTTTTACAAGGAGTCATGTTTGCATAGACCACAATACCTGCTGTCTCGGGTGTGGATCAATCAACTTCAAGGACAATGCATACATTACCAGAGTTATGTTTTTTGTTTGCATTATGACTGCAGGTATTGTGGTCTATGCAAACATGACTCCTTGTAAAAAAAGGTGTCAGTTTTGTTGCCAGATAGAAGGGTAAAAAACCAATTATCAACCTGCAATGTGTTTAGCTGTGAGAAAGAATAAAAGGTGACCGACACTACTGTTTAGACGTGTGTGTTACATGTTCGGTGTAACACACGTGCGGCGAGTGGTGTGTGTGTTACATGTTCTGTGTAACACACACGTGTGGCCAGTGGTGTGTGTTACATGTTCGGTGTAACACACGTGCGGCCAGTGGTGTGTGTGTTACATGTTCTCTGTAACACACACACGTGTGGCCAGTGGTGTGTGTGTTACATGTTCTGTGTAACACACACACGTGTGGCCAGTGGTGTGTGTTACATGTTCTCTGTAACACACACACGTGTGGCCAGTGGTGTGTGTTACATGTTCCGTGTAACACACACGTCTGGCCAGTGGTGTGTGTTACATGTTCTGTGTAACACACACACGTGTGGCCAGTGGTGTGTGTTACATGTTCTCTGTAACACACACACGTGTGGCCAGTGGTGTGTGTTACATGTTCTGTGTAACACATACACGTCTGGCCAGTGGTGTGTGTTACATGTTCTGTGTAACACACACACGTGTGGCCAGTGGTGTGTGTTACATGTTCTCTGTAACACACACACACGTGTGGCCAGTGGTGTGTGTTACATGTTCGGTGTAACACACACACACGTGTGGCCAGTGGTGTGTGTTACATGTCCCGTGTAACACACAGGTCTGGCCAGTGGTGTGTGTTACATGTTCTGTGTAACACACACACGTGTGGCCAGTGGTGTGTGTTACATGTTCTCTGTAACACACACACGTGTGGCCAGTGGTGTGTGTTACATGTTCCGTGTAACACACACGTCTGGCCAGTGGTGTGTGTTACATGTTCTGTCTAACACACACACGTGTGGCCAGTGGTGTTTGTTACATGTTCCCTGTAACACACACACACGTGTGGCCAGTGGTGTGTGTTACATGTTCGGTGTAACACACACGTGTGGCCAGTGGTGTGTGTTACATGTTTCGTGTAACACACACGTCTGGCCAGTGGTGTGTGTTACATGTTCTGTGTAACACACACACGTGTGGCCAGTGGTGTGTGCTACATGTTCTCTGTAACACACACACGTGTGGCCAGTGGTGTGTGTTACATGTTCCGTGTAATACACACGTCTGGCCAGTGGTGTGTGTTACATGTTCCGTGTAACACACACGTCTGGCTAGTGGTGTGTGTTACATGTTCTGTGTAACACACACACGTGTGGCCAGTGGTGTGTGTTACATGTTCCGTGTAATACACACGTCTGGCCAGTGGTGTGTGTTACATGTTCTGTGTAACACACACGTGTGGCCAGTGGTGTGTTACATGTTCCGTGTAACACACACACGTGTGGCCAGTGATGTGTGTGTTACATGTTGCGTGTAACACACACACGTGTGGCCAGTGGTGTGTGTAACATGTTCTTCTGTGCTCAGCAGCATCGTGAGCGGCGATCACAAACAGAAACTTGCGAGTTCAAATCTTGGCTCTGGGATTGACTCAGCCCATAACTTCTCGGGGGTCGATGAAATTAATACAATTTTGTCAACGGTGGTCCTATGGATAGACTTGCCCGACCAGAGGGAATGTGGAATTTCCACCACTGGCTAAGCTGCAAACGGGAGATGTGAACCAGCATCGATTATGATCGACAAATCGTCACGGTCCTCATCAGCAGCGAGCCACTGCACGAGTCACGTGGTGTGTGTGTACTGTACGTGCCACATGCAGTTCGGCCACTGATTCCTTTGTGATTGTAGTGGCCACGCTTTCCGCAAGCATGCCACAGTTTCTAAGAATTAAAGAAACAGTCCGCATTAATCTCATTCTTTTAAATGTTCCCAATCCCATTGAGCACGAATTGGACGTTGAGTCAAAGTTTCCATGAGTGCGCTGCCTGGGACTGCTCATCGCTCTCTCACCAATCACCGCTCTCTCACCGATCACCAATGTTAACCGCCCTGCATCACCAACACCGGCACCATCAGGGCATGTCATGGTTCATCCATTCAGTTGGATTCCTACACTTAGGACAGAGCCATTAATTGTGGCTCTGTTAGTCGACTATCTATTTACTGTTCAAGAAAATACTTATCCATCTTCATCAGCTATGCTTAATCCACTGCTGGATGAAGGTCTCCCCAAGCCATCGGGTAGCTCTTATCGCCCTCCTGCGATGTAACAAGCCACTCGTCACCTGTACAAGAGTTGGTTTCATCACTCCGTCTCCATGGTCAGTCACGTCCTCTTGGGCTGCATTCCCTCTCTTGGCCACCACTCCTGTCATTATTCTAACTCATGGGTCACAATCCCTGCCGGTGAACGTGTCTTGCCAAAACCCACTTATACTTTTCTAAACCGTCAGATCGATGTCTTTAACCTGTGTCCGTTCTCTAATCCATGCATTCCTCTGCTCAGAATTAACGTTGCCACGCACAGAATGTCATTCTTATGATAATTGCACCACTGGCTCGAGGTCTCCCCGTCCTTGGTAGCCGACGTCATCGCGAGAATTTTATGCGGCATGGGACGAGTAGCCAAGCCAAGAGCAACCCGCAATCCCTCTGTACTCATCAAGCTAAGTGGTGTCCACTTTAATTTGTCTGAGAATACATTCCTCAAGACACTGCTTCACTATATATTGAAATTATAGATGCTGTGGTCAGAGCATCCGGCTCACGACTGGAAGGCTACGAGTTCAAATCCCGGGCAAGGATCCAAATCAGTGCCTTCATACCTACGGGATCAATAAAGCAAGTACCGCTTCATTGTACTGTCCACAGTTGTTGTTCTATGGGCGCAGTGAGCCCCATTATGGGAATGATGGGGCTGCCAATGGGGAAGAGCACCACCCCATTTGCTCGGTGCAGATTTGAACCCACACAGTGCACAGACCATGAACACAGCATCAATTAAAGCCTTTAAAGGATCATCCCAAACTCAATGTGCCACTAATGTTACCAATAGCCAGGAGCTTAACCAATATTTCTGGGATCGTAGTATACTCATTAATAGGCATGTAACGATTCACCTCCCCCCCCCCCTCGTTCACCCCCACCGCTCCACGATTTGATTTGTCACGAATACGTTTCTTTATGTCTCATACACTCCGTCCCGTACGCTGTATTCCCTGTGCGTTCTCTCCATTTTGTTTCATCGGCCTGATGCGTGCGTCAGGCGAGAATCAATTTTAAATCGATAAATTGTTACTCGCCTACTCATTAGCACACAATCGCACTCGCTAAAGCACTCATGTGCACACCGCATGTTTAAACGTATACCCACGCGCTCACAGGCTGCGATACTTGAACGGCACTGTGGGTTCACTTTTTTCTCCCGCACAACACCGTGTGTCACCATGGGGGGCTATGCGTGGGGCACAAAGATGAGGCCCGCTACCTGCACGATGCGAGAACGGCTTTGAGCACGTGGCTCCTCGCTTCCCATTGGTTGACGCTGCCTGCCAGCTTCTCTGTGCTGGAGAAGATCGTGGGGTGGAGGAGGAGCAGGCTGAGGGGCCGGCTGCAAGTCAACCGTTGCTATCGAGACTTGGGGATAGGAAGGATGGCAGCTCACTTGGAGGCTTTGCCAGGAGGGACCCCGAAGAGGGAGGGCTCGTTTGGAGGTTTCGCCAGGAGGGCCCCTAGGAGGAGGGCTCACCTGGGGGCTTTGCCAGGAAGGACCCCTGGGAAGGGGGGTCCGCTTGGGGGCTTTGTTAGGAGGACCCCTAGGATGGGAGCTCACTTGGGGGCTTTGCCAGGAGGGACCCCTAGGAAGGGGGTCACTTGGGGGCTTTGCCAGGAGGGACTAGGGGCTGGTGCCAGAGGGTGGCTTACGCTACATGCTGCCTCTGTGCACGCTCTCACGCTTGACAAGGTCGTCTCTCCCCAAGATGTCACGCGCCGCTCACCTGCCGCGCTCCGTGATGGAGAAGACGAGGAGGAAGCCCTCGCCTGTCCGCATGTACTGCTCGCGCATGGCCCCAAACTCCTCCTGCCCGGCCGTGTCGAGGACTGCACCCCAAAGCAACAGACACCCAGTGTTTGGTTTAATACATGTATACTGTGGGGGTGGGAGCCAGCACTGTTAGCGAGCACCTATTCAGGCCAGTAAGGCACACACGACAGGACAGTGTGACTTGAACCTACACTTGGCCCAGCAAAAGGATGTTCGTTTATGGCTGAGAGGACCACTTGAGATGTTGTTAGCCTGGGCGGGAAACGAATTGTGCTCTCTTTGGTCAAGCAGTGAGATTGAACTATATACGGATGATACAAGTCCGTCAATATGTGCTCTCTTTACAATCACCCTGTCGTACAGGCTGTACAAGCATGACAAGACAAGACAAACAGTACAATCAAGACATTACAAACGAGAAAAAGCAAAACCAATTCCTGAATGAATTGTAACAGTCCATTCAATTACTAAGGGGTGAATAATTACAAACATAATGTTCGCTACAGCAAGGAAAACGATTGGAAACCATGCCAAACTCAAATGGTGGAAATTACGGTGGTTGTGACTGAGACTTAAAGATTTATGCTAAGCCTCATATGTCCGCTGCAGAGATGGAGGAATGAAATCAGCTCGTGTGTGGGTGAAAAGTTGAACTGTATGTAAGTTGAACTTCTTTCGCACGATACATCGACAACCGTGCTCGGAGATGCGGGGGAAGGAGAAACTAAACTCAAAAAGCAGTTCTAAAGAAATTAGTTTTCAACCTCGATTTAAAAGTACATAGCTCTACTGGTTTCCTAATATCGGAAGGAAGAGCGTTCCAGATGGTTGCAGAAGCGCATCTGAAAGTGCAGAAGCGCATCTGAAAGTGCAGGATGTGGTGACCGTCTTTGTTCGATGACCAGCTAAAGCTGCTGCGAGGGTAGCCGGAGTTTACGTGATAGTTTCCGCTCCTTGACGAATTCAGCATCACAGGATCATGAGAGATGGCGACGGCTTGGGGAGGGGGCCTTTGTCCGGCAGTGGATTGTTCATGGCTGGGTGCTGGTCAAACCCACTAGGGGTGGATCTCACTAACGAGGCCAATGTGCAGTTGGGCATCATGGCCAATATCACCGATACCAATGCACCTCGCTATCACGTCCTTCCCTCTGTCGGACCCCTCGGACCTGCTGGACCAGGGGTCGGCAACCAAAATAACAAGAAGAGCCATTTCTTTCCAATTCGGTACAAAATTCAGTATTTCAAGAGCCGCAATGCATCTGAGTACATACTGTACATACGTACATATCGTCAAGAAGCAGCCCGTAAAGAGCCGCATGTGGCTCCGGAGCCGTAGGTTGCCGACCCCTGTGCTGGACAGTCGACACCCAACCTCACAAGGTTGGATCTTACAGTCTCAGCACCACTGGCTTTTGTTTTTCCACTTGTTACACAGGCCACATGTGCTTCAATGACTACTTATACTCTTTGGATGCTTCGGTAAAGTGACTTTACTGACTTCACCGAAAGACCCAAAGAGGATGAAATCCTGCAGTCACGAAAGCTTTAAGTCAATGACGACTTAGTCTCATTACCACCACCCTCAAGCTTCAGGTCACTCCTTCGGTCGCCGACTTTTGGGTGCCACTATAATGTCTACCCTCCTTCACCCTGCACACAACTATGTGGTAAACATTGTTATTTTATATGAACCTATCTATGTGACTTTACTGAAAGACCCAAAGAATAATAAGAAGCATATTGATTTTGTTAATCACCCATCGAGCCATATGTCACTGTGGTAGAAGTTCTCAACTTGAAATCAGAAGGTCGTGAGTTCAACATCCAAATCAGGGGGTCACAACTCACCCTCTCATCCCGCCGTGGGCAAATATACAAATATCAATTCATGAAACGTCAACGGTGTGGTCATCACATGAACAGACCAACCCTATCATGGGAATACAGAAGTTCCAGCTCTGGCTTCGAGTAGCTGATGAGAGATTAGTGCCTACTCTTTAACTTTTGTCTCCGTGTTTTGCATGGGCAATTTTCTGCTTAGGAACCCCAAAAGGTGTTTTATTTCAGACTTTACCCTTGAAGCCAACTCTCACCCACTGCACTCGTCTCCATCGAGTCACGCGATTCCACCACCGATATAAATCCAGAGGCAGCAGTGCGAAACAAGAAAGGTCGTTGAAGTTTCATGAGAACGACCGTCTCCCTTCCCCCATAAAGTTATTATTTAGTTTTCCACCTGACTTGGCCATGAAACGGACAACGTTAAATGACATCACTGTGTGCCCTTTCTTGTTGCATATGCAGATTCAGAACACTTTCTGTACTGCAACCAAATAATGCCTCCACCTGTGCAATAATTAACCCAGTCATCCGGCATTGTGGAGACACTAACGCCATCAAGTTTACAGTAATACCACGGGCTTCTGACAGCGAACAAGTAGCACGACCCTTTAGAGCAAAGGTGCATGACCATTTTCCCATGGCAGGCAGCATCCACGAGACATTTTAGGCAGAGCTTCCCGACGAGGTTTAAACCCGGAAAGTGTTCGTTAAAATTTGAAGGAGTGGGGAGGGGTGGAGGGGTGCGAACAAATGAGTGGTGGTTAGCGCAATGCACGATAAACCTGACGAGCCGAGTTCGATTCCCAGCGGCCACGATTAACACGAGTGCCGAGCAATATTTGCACTGGTGCTGGGTCTTCCAACTTCACCAAACCCGGACTGTTAAGCTTTGTGCACTATGGTGGTCAAACAAGCTCCTTAACCGACACAGAGTGAGCCGGGCGTGCCCCCCCCCAACTTGTTATTTCTCTCACACGCCACTAGTTTGCCAGGTGTTGTAGGCTTCAAACAAGTTCAATGCGAATGCAGCGTAAAGAAATAAAAGTGAATAAGGGTTTGGTGCTTGTAATATTTTTTCTGATAACGGGATGATCTTCACACAACCTACACGGAGAGCTGTTACGTTATGTATAATTCTGCAGGCCCGTTGTAAGTTATGTTGAACGGTGAGAATTCCATTACCGCAGCTAACATCGTGGGCGCGCGGTGCACGATGGGCCTATGGAGCTCAGCGGGCCTGCATTAGTGGCGTTTAGTCCTGCGCTGGAGCAAGGGCTTCACAGGCGAATTGGGTTTTTTGCCACATTGCCATGAATCTACGTTGCCTTAGTAACGAAATAAAATAAAAATATCTCTTAGTGGGAACGAGCGAAGTTATTTAAGCTTTTGAGTCACAGCCACAGAATGGAGTTAGCCGAGGAATGCCCGTGTGGTTCCGAGCGCTGGGGGGTTTTTGTACTGTATGCAGGTTGCAGGTTTGCTAGACCCCATTCATTACGTTGACGGAGAACGCCGCCCCCACGTACACCATCGGCGCACGCACTTGCCGTGCGTGCACCGGCGCACGCACGTACGCGTGTGGTGCACGGGTCGACGCTCGCTTCTCGGGAGGCTGAATCGCTCGGTGTGTGTCCCGGCGCGACTGCGCCCGTGTAGCGGCGACGTTGCCGAGGGAAGTCGCGAGCCCAGAGGGAACGCGCACTTGACGCGCGTGCGACTTGACACGCGTGCACAGCGTCAAGCGAGTCACAATGCTCCCGTGTATCTGAGGCTTCACGGATGCCCAGGATGCGCGCGTTGACCGGTGCGCATGAGAACAGAGTGTTTTGTCTCGCATAAACGTACGCAGTGCCAATCGTTACCCTTACGTCCGCTGAAAATGGTCTCGTGTACCGTGGGGTGTCAAGTGATTCAAGCTAAAAAGAGTGTTCTATCTGCAGCTTGTCACGCGGCTTGTGGGAGGGACCTTCGAGTTAGGAGTTTCGGCCCTCGCACAAAGTCACTGTGACAGCAGGTCGTGACCCTCCCGGGTGGCAGGAAGCTCGGTATGCTGGGTGTGGTGTCACAATGTACAATAAGAATAATGGGGATTTATTTACCACGTGAAGCGAGGTAAATTAATCAGAAGGGTCTTGCATTGGAATGTTTGGCCAATTCTGTTTCTATGAATGTTTTGTATGTGGGGAGGGGGGGGAACGGAAGTATCTGGAGAAAGTGCACCGTGCATGCAAGGTGATAACACAAAAGTTCAGCTCAGACGGGTTCATAAACTCGCCTGCCATACTGTCACCTCCCGGCAATTTTCACAGACAGCACGCACGAGACAGACAGTACAAACAGTTCCGACGATCCAAACGGCGCACAGTAGATGGTACAGATGAGACTGAAAGCACAGAAAAGTCAGACAAGACAGACGAGACAGCGAGTAACACAAACGGGACAAACAGCGAGGGAAGTCGATCTTCACGAGTCCAGTGGACACCGAGGTCGGCAGCTGCCAATGCCGCGGGGTGAACTCACTGTCGAGGCGTGCAGCCCGGTCGTCGATGACGCACTGCTTCGTGTACGAGTCCTCGATGGTGGGGTCGTAGTCCGTGACGAAGTACGACTGCCAACGACAAGGGTGGGGTTACGTCATACACTCGTTTGCATGCAGATTGCCGAATGGCCGACCTAGCCGGGCGGCGCTGCGACTTGCACACGAGCGACTTGCGACACGAAGGTTGCGCGTTTAACGCCCAGTCGGAGACGGTCTGCAAGGCCTTCATCCCTTCGGAAGCGGACCCAATAAAGTACTGCTTGGTAGGCGGTGTCCCATAGACTGTGCCCGGCCATGTGACTGTGGAATATCCACCACTGGTTCAAAGTCATCAATAGAAATGAGTGAAGCCACGTAACGTGTTTGAACAGGAAATCACTTAATCTTCACTTTCAATTTTATAAGTAATTTTGCAACAACTAACATGAGTAAAGCTACTTGTTGATCTTAGAAGTCTCAGCGAGTTACATGACTTTTACTAGAGGCTGCTAAATCGGGATGTTTGGTCACTTCCATTGGTTTCATGAGTGTTTTGCATGTTTGGGGCCGTCCATAAATGACGTCACGCACCTGGGGGGGGGGGGGGGTCAGACATTTGTGACGATGTTTGACGAGGGGGGGGGGTTGAGAAATGTGACGTCACATCAAAATGCGCAACTTTAAATAAATATAGAATTGTTATAACAACACTCCTACAACATCAGAGTGCAGCGCCACATTAAATACGCACTACAATGACAATAGTTTAAAGAGATTTGAAGCATGTTTTATTTTCAAAATGGAAATATGCTTTTGGGGGGGGGGGGGGGGCAGAGCTTTGTGACGTCGTATTTGAGGGTGGTCTGACTTTTTGTTCTAAATAAATTATGTAAAATAATCGTCCAAAATGGTGTGACGTAATTTATGGACGGCCCCTTTGAGGAAACCAGAGTACCCGGGAAAACCCACGTGGGCCTCGTAAAAGTGAATTAAAGCTCAAATGGTCTGCACATGAGGATTCTAAAAAGTTACCAAGTGGTACCGTTATCAAGAACCAAATCACCCAGGATGTGCCGACTGGCCTGGGTGTGAACCCGTGCATGCCGGTGTGGACCCGGTGTGTACCCAGTGTGTACCCAGTGTGGCCAAAAAGCATTTCTCAACAGCTGCCGAGAACTAAAACTTTGATCTTCATTACTCCACCTTTGGTAAATACACATTTTTTTTCGTGCTTTACGTAGTAATCAAATTGGTAACCTGCAGAGTGTCCTGCACAAGCAAATCATTTTCTACACATGGTGCTACACGCCTGGCCTTGATCACCACTCTGCGGAGGAGACAAGGTGACCTGTGGAAGCGTGAGGGGAAGTAGGTTGCCCAGCTATCTGCTTGGATTGTTTTTCAGTGTTGTCTCGACATACGTATGACATTGCGGTCTCCTCTCAAAAGCAAAAATGCTCGTCCAAGAAATTGCTCAAATATCCCAACCAGGACCCTCGTGTGAATGGAGACCCCAGTTAAAGCCCAGTTGAAGCTTTCTTGGGTAAATAAATCCACTAAGTGATGTTCATAAGCTGTGCGGGATTAGATGTAGTGTGTTTACTCAGGTACACGCAAGCAAATGCAGCTTCACTTTTAGCGGGAAAAAACCCATTTTGTGCTCTTCTGCCAACTTGAGAAAAGTCCATTGGCCGATCGCATAAAACAACAGAGGTGAAATTTTACTTGGCGTGCCATTCGAAGCTGTACAGGTTTGATGACGTTTTATGGAAATAGTGACAAAGCCGTGTTTTTTTGTGCTATTTAAGTTATGTACAAATTTAGTCCTATGGAAGATGGTGAAAGTCAAATGCCTGTTAATAAATAAATGAGATGTATATAGTAGGGGTTATGCAATTTTCCCCATCTCTCCGACGATTTGATTCAAAACACTACGATTTGATTTGAGAATCAATACACTTAATGCATTCATCAATAAGAATGAACAGTATGGGAACCTCATTTGCCAGTAAAAATATAATTGGTTTTTTACCCTTCTATCTGGCAACAAAACTGACACCTTTTTCACAAGGAGTCATGTTTGCATAGACCACAATACCTGCAGTCATAATGCAAACAAAAAACATAACTCTGATAATGTGCACTGTCCTTGAAGTTGATTGGTCCACACCCGAGACAGCTTTCCTTAGAGCCTAGTCTCACATGGGTTGGACCAGATGACACCATCTGGTTATGTTCTTTTGTTTGCATTATGACTGCAGGTATTGTGGTCTATGCAAACATGACTCCTTGTAAAAAGGTGTCAGTTTTGTTGCCAGATAGAAGGGTAAAAAACCAATTATCAAGAATGAACAGTCTTTCGATAATCTCTTGAGCAGTGTGGTGAATGTAGCGCATGCTCTATCAGCTACAGCAGGCGTCACGTGAAGCTACTACACGTGGCATGTACACATTAAATAACATTTCTTCTTACCCCCGTGATTTTAAGCATCTATCATTAGCTTAACAATCAATATTAATCAATGAATAAATGCACTGTTAAAGATCTCGCAGGCGCTAAGGGAAGGTTAAATACCATGAAGTGGAAATACAGTGCAATGATGCTGTAAGTGCGAAGGGTGAAGTTTATTGAAAAGTGCTGAGTTAAAGTGTAAAGGTGCTGATGACCTTACACGTGAAACCGCACATGCAGACATCACGGCATTTTCCACAATAATGCGGAAAGGTTACAGACACAATAAACATCGTTGTAAAAAGCACACTAACTTAAAAACTCAGCTGCGATGTATGTGCAGCGTCACTTTGGGAAGTAATAAAAAAGCAAAGCCCGAAGGGAATTGTGAAATTTGATATTAGCCGAGTACGGGGGATAGCGACACCGAATAATTCACGAAATGCTTTCATTCTTCTTTTAGCATGTATGGCTATATGCCAATAACACGTCCAAGTTGAAGTCCGTGAGCCATGCGACTAATACCGCTCAGTCCGCCGGAGAGCGGCCCATAGGGATGCAGTCGTTCGTGATATGCTCCCATTGTCTGGTTCGGGTGGCCGTAGTCACACTGTGGGTTGTCTAATTCTCCACTTGTGGAGGAGGTGTGGTGCAGAGACCCAGTTGCTGTTCTGAAGAAGTTTATGGAGCACCACAGTTTTCTTCGGCAGATCAAAGCCGTGGGGGTCAGAGATGGTAGCCTTCTCATGGCCCATCTGTTAAGTGTCTCATCGCGAGACAAATACCATCACTTCGGCCTTCTTGGAAAAATCGTGAATATTTTCAATGCTTTAATTGAGAGGTCAGTGGATGATAAAACGCATTTATAATTCAGATAACATTTGAAGAGGTCATTGGTCGATAAAACGTGTTGCATAGAAGACCATGACTTCAACATCCCGCTGCCTGGGAGTAGAACCCTGGACCGAGGCGGTGCTGACTCAGTGTCTCTGACACGGCCACTATGAATCCAATAAGTGAAAGACACACACACAGCCCTGAGGTTTGAATTCAGAATATCAGCCATTCTGGCTGAGTGCGCCTGACATGGCCATGTACGTATGTATGTTGAATAAGAACTCACAGAGAGTAACCACACGCTGAACACCTTAGCAGGAACCCTGGATTCCAGCAGTGCCAGCTCAGCTCTATGACATTATCATGATGAGCCCCATGAGTGAGTCGATGCTGTAAGTTGACTGTACGCTGTAAAACCTAACCCGCTTCCAGAGGGAAAAACTCCAATGCCACAAACGCAAGCTGTCTTCAAGTGTGAGGAGGCTGCACTGGTAAAAATCTCTTCCCGTGTCACCACCATCTTCCTGTGTCTCCTTGCCTAAGTATGGCAACAAACCGGATTCAAACACAGGATTTGAACTCCGTATTTCTGTGGGGATGGCTTAGTGTGTTTGACACCATATTGGTCCCCTGCACTACCAGGCCACTCGTGGGGTGATGATAAGAGTCTAAGCGCAGTGCCAAAGTGCTGGTGAAGCAGCCACTTGGGAGAGAAAACTTCAAGTGTTTCCCTGCTCAAACAACCCATATCATCTTCAGTGGTGGCCCCGAGGCAGTGTTGGAAATTCCACTTTTGTATGGTCAGGGCCAGTTCTTCCATATGACAACCACTGTAGAGTTTCAATCAAGTGAAACACATTGGATCAGCCATGAAGGGATGAAGGGATGATGGAGTAAGTTGACCACCAAACAGGATTTGAACCCGTGACCTTCTGATTTATGAGTTGGGCAGCCTGCCCACAGCAGCACGTGGCCACTAATTTAGTCAACGGTTGCACATTTTTTATGCAACGTACCACAAAATGTAGCATTTATTTAAAGGTCAACAGCATAGATACTGGTAGTGGTTTTGATCACTGTCGGGACAGGCAAGTAACGACTCATTGATTCACAAACATAAAGAATATATTCTGTCGCTCACAGTACATTAATTTAGTTGGGCAAATAAAAATTATTATTTACGACTTGGGACAGGATTTTTAGTATTTTCACCATTCTCTAGATTCGACATACGGGGAGTGGAGCAGTGGCTCAGTGGTTAACACACTGCGCTGTGTTCTACAGAGACCCAAGTTAGATTCCAGGCCACGGCTAGCGTCAGTGGCAAGTGATATCTGTACCGGGCCAGGCATCCCCCCCCTCCCCTCCCCAACCTTCAACCGACTCACATTGACCAGCATGGTTAAATATCGTCAAAGAACCTCCGTGACCAACGTGGCGTGGAATGGACATCAGTGGATTGACAAAGAGTCGAGAGATCCTGCATGACGAGGCTGTGAAATCGAGACAAAACATTTTGGGGAGATTCTTGAGAACTGAATGGCAACCCCAAACTGATAATTCATCAAACCGCTTGGAGAATGGGTGGTGGGGGAGGGGGGGTGATGAATCACTACATAGTACCTACCGGAGAAGCATGCGTTAGCGTGAAGCGACAGTGGGAGGTGACAGTTGGGAGGAGATGGTGTGGAAGGGGATGTTTAGAAGGGGTGGGATATGAGATGGTGGGGAGGAAGAAGACGTTAGAGCTAAAACTAAAGCATTGTTGTTTTTACCAGGTAAGGCCCACTGAGCTATATGG